CTTTTATCCTGCGACAACCAATAAAAAAAAGATTTTTCTGAACCCTTGCTTTACCGAGCCAACAAGTCTCGAGTAAAGATAATAACAAACGGATCAGAAAGAAGTTGTGACCCAAGAACGGCCTGCGGTTTCCAAGGAAGCCGCTAACCTCCCCCAAAAATTTGTTCTGCCTTATTGAACTCCTCCTCGCCACAAATTACCCTTGAATTTGACTCGATTGCTGACGTTCGCGAACGTTGTCAGGAGTTTTGTCTTCTCTACGACGCTACCCAGATCCCCTTGCCCTTTTATCACGGATTCTATCAGTGATTTCTACTTTAGCGTCCTTTAAGTTTATGTTTCACCAGCAATCCAACGACGTGCTGTTGAGAGGGTCCTGTGTCTCCCATACTTCTGTTCTCCAGGTTGCCGTCAGTAAGTCAAAACAAAAAGCAATAAAAAACGACTAAACTTTTTTGGATTTGCTGATAATGTTGCTTCTACATGCGTATATACGGCAGAAGCCGCCAAGCTGCGCTTTTTCCAGGCATTTGATGGATTACTTCGTAATCCTCAAACTATATAAACAATTGATCATTCGTTCCGAAATAGTATCCTATCTTGAAGACATGCTCGCGCAGTCAGTGAAAATATTTTGCCGTTTTATATTGACTTAACCTGCTCGTCGAGAAACACGCTCGACATGGTTTTTGACGTGTTGTCTCGTTCCATCGGTTCAAGGTGCCTGCGGTTTCAGGGGACCGGATATGAGAATATACAATGCTGTAAAAAGTTCAACGACATGCTTTATGTGGAATGGCCGGGTCATTACGCTAATCCGGTTTATTCCAATTTCCAGTTTTTATCTTGAAAGAAAGTGGTTACAGCTCCTCAAGGTACTCAACAGGAGCTTGCAGTTACTGGCAAAAGTTTCGACAATACCAAATTTTTCTTTGAACGGCTGTTCAAAGAAAACTGTGAAAAATCTACAAATGGTTGATTGTTGCAAAATGTTTTTAACCTGAAAGAGGTAGGAGATTCCAGTCAAATCGATATTGAAATGAAACTTCCGGCAGACTTGCTGATGTATTTATTAATCAATCCAAGATCGAGGATATTTTTTCCCATCTTCGGAAAATGTTATTGAATATGAATCGCTGAATATCGGCAGCACTATTACAGCTGAGGAGAAAGTGAACCTAATTAATGTTATAGATAGGTATAAAATAGCTTTTCCGAAAAGGGAAAGGAAGGGAGTGCACTTCGCTCATTGAACACATTATTGACAGTGGTGACGCGAAACCTGTTTATGTTCCGTGTTACCAATCGTCCGTTAAAGAACAACGCATAATGAAGAAATTAATAAACTTCTAACTCTGGACATTATTGAGCCATCGTACTCAAGTGGAGTAGTCCTTTACTGCTAATTCCTGAAAGTGAAAGTTTTGGGCCAGTAAACGATTATGGATTCCTGAATAAAATTACAAAAACGGATGTCTACAGAAGCCGCTTCGGCAGCCACATTTGCCTGTAGGACAAGAAAACAGGAATTAAGACCTGATCGAATAGTAAGCTGCGCTTTAACTACCGTCTCGGCGGCTCGGCCACTTTGGGCGTCTCGCTCACAGACGCCTGGTGATATAAAATCCGCGTGCGCGGCAGCCATACAAGTTCGGTGTGCGGGGCCGCACCTTATCTACTAGTCCGGCAACTTCTGCAGCTGGTGGCAAAGAAAACAAAATTCGGTTTTCATGCGTTGTGTCGCATTTACAGTGCCATCACATTTGCTTAATCAATTGCAACCTGATATGTGGCTGGATATTGCAGACACCGAACGGCATTCACGTAAATTCTTACAACCCGTTCGGAGCACGTCGGGTTCCTACCGGATCTTTGACAACACACATGAACAGACGACCGGCAATTAAACTCACGTTAGCCCGAAGGCCGCTGATGATGCCGGCGTTATTATGAGATGGCAGAGGTTCTGCTAGCATTCTCTTAGCCCAAGGCTTTCTCAGGTTCTGGTTCAGGGGTAGACAGCGCAGGTGTCCCGATGCGACGGCGACAGTCATTCAAACAAGGTGATGCGTTTACATGGTCCAGGTAGAGGCGAACTAGTTTTTGGGCTAGATGGTGAAAATGGGCCACGACGGCCAATGCGTCGAACAATGGCGCCATTCTCTGCACGACGGCTGGTTAACGGCTGGCAGTAGGCCGGATTCTCCGCCAGTGACATCTCAGAAGAATTCTGGGGCCCAAATGCAGGTTGGACAGTGGGTTCATTGGCTGTGCGGGCAGCAACACGGGAACGGGTAACTCCTGTCGAAAAGTTTGACTATTCACTGCCTGGTTATGATAACCACTGGATTATGATAACCACCGTGTGCGGACCGTCACGAAAGCTCGGGAAGCACCATCACATATTGCCCGCTTTACTCTCCAACGGCGATCATGTGGTTGCTGGCTCCTGATCATAACGGTATAGTAATCTTAGATCGTTCCATCCTGATCGTCATCCGCTGTTCACTGCATGTGGCGCGCATTTTCAAAGGTCATGTTGCGTTTTCACTCTTCAACGAGGTGATGCGGTGACTGGCTGTTGTTGCATCCTGACGTGAAGCGGCATTTTTCCCTGAGATACTTGCGCGTTCACACGGCGCTTTCCTAACACGGTGCCACTCGAGTAGGGGTGCCGTTACGGTGTTACCGTACGAGTCACTTCCACGGAATTGTTGGACGGCAGGAACAAACAGTGCTTTTGGCTAGATGTCGTTAAGTATCCACGCAAAAAACACATTTTTGATGGCTGTAGACCACTATTTCCTTCTTTCGGACGACCCAAAACTGAGCAGCTTGAACATATTTTTGATAATCGTCAGTGTTCTTAAGATTTACCAGCCGAAATTCAGCATGAAAAGAGTGAGAAATCAGAAAACCGGCAAAAGACGTTCACTTAATTGCTTATCGTGAGGCCTTTTCGCGCCAATCGGACGTGGCAGCGAGGGCGATTGTACCTCTGGTTCTTCTTGATCCTTTTACAACATAAAATATTGCACGAGTGAACTCTTCAAAACTGGCCATCGGGAACAATTGTTCAGTTAGCAAAATGTACATAACTCTTATTCGACATGTTTTAAAGAACTCTGAACAGGCAACACGCATATCCCAATCCTTTCGCAACACTGTAATTGAAATCCCACTAAAAATTTCTTTACATGCAAAGTCCGAAAGGCAAATACTACACCTCGATCGCAATCGATAGTTATAGATTCCAAACACTTTAGGAAAGATTAAGATCAGGAAAGAAGTCCAAGCATTTCAGTTGTGAGCGCTGTTATAATAGAACCGTTTGGGCTTATTGATAATTAATATGAAACAGATGAGGAATATATTGCAAAGGGAAAACATGAATTTTAGTTTTTATTCCGTGGCATGATCAAGCAGTTTCTTCATGGGAATGTAGTCCAATTCGTCAACATTAATAGACACCATGCAGGTTGATGACGGTGAAGGCATTTCCTCAACGAGAGCAGAATCACGTGGATTATTCGAAACATGAGGTACGGTTGTTGGCGCACACCAACAAATCGCCTCCAGTAAACTAAAAAAACTTTAGAGCACTGGATTCTGTAGCAATAGCGTATCCCTGGGTAGAACTACAACCACCACAATTTTGTATAGCGATATTAGAATAGGAAATGCACGCATCAGCCGGATCTTGCAGACGGCGCATTGCCGTAACTCTACAAGTACGAAATGCATGTCGCGGTATGATCAAATTCACGCCTTCTTGGTTCAGCGTTAATCTTAACCTTTTTGTGAAATAAATACTAGGATGTTTAACATGATATAATAGCTCGCAATTAAACTTTGAAGGTACGGACTATGTAGAAATTTTTTGTAAATATTTCGGAATTCTACTGTTAAATTTCAAGGCCTTATTCAGGCTGTCGTGAAATCATAAATTAAATTACTGCAGGTGAAGCAGCAATTGCTAACGTACCTGGTAATGGACCTCTACACTTTAGGTAATTAGTTGGAGGTCAGCACTCCGGATTCGTTGTAGATGACGATGGAGTTCTTTCTTGGAAGCGGATTGCAGGCTGTCTTGCAGGCTGTCCATCGTTCGGACATTCATCCAATTCAAAACACGCCTTCTTGTATCTTTTACCAACGTTTTACTATCTAAATCTTTAATGGGCAACAGCCACCAAGATAACATATATGTGTTTGGATTACCAACAGCTAAATTCGGTAATTTATTTACTATTTGAATCACTATTTGTGATCTATTTCTCTGCGATCTATTTTAACAAAACGTGGAATGTTTGGAGTCTCTGCGATGTTTAAGGAGCCTTGAACGACACTACTTGGGGGGAACTTTTGTGAACCCCAGGTAATCGGGTATGTCGTTTCTCGCTGGTCGATGTCATGTCATATTTCTGTGGAACTGCTTTTCTGGGCTTTTAACGTATTTGTAGCCTCCGAGTTCCGCTGAAATGGCGAAAGATCAGCAATGTCAGTACTGCCAGAATATGTTCACCAAAGGCGCGGGGTTCGCCAACCACGTCAAGGCCTGCAGCAAGAAATTCCAAGCCCAATAGCCCCCTACCGCTGCTCAGTCCCAGTCGGGTCAGCACCCCCTTCAGTTTATCCTCTCTGGAATACGTTATGCCCTCCCGAAAAGAGTGCCAAAGACGGTTCGACGCCCATGCGCTCAGAACCTTACCCAGATACTCCGCAAATGTGTACGTGAAAACCCTTCAACGTCATGGGTGGATTTGTTACTGTTTGGTTCAAGAGCTCTGTCCTTACCCGCTGCAAAATCAGTCCGGAAGGAGTCACTGTCAACAATCATCCGCAGAAATCTGGCTGATTTGTCCTGCCATCACCATCCTCCCCGTACACACACCAGCAGCGACAAAACCCGTAAAAGCGAGCTGAACGATGAGCGACTGGCGGCTTTGACCACGTCCCTGTTACAAGACAATAATGTACGACGGGCTGTTGGAGTGATAATGGGTGAAGATGCACTCGCGCCCATGAATGCGGACACTTTGGAGTCCTTGCGCAGCAAGCATCCGCCGGAACCACAAGACAGCGATTATCCACCTCCACCTGAACAGTCGCATAAGCCGTCCCTAGCTACACCCGCCGAAGTTTTGAAAGCCGTGCTAAGTTTCCCTTCAGGTTCTGCTGGTGGTTGTTCAGACCTACGGCCACAACATCTAAAGGATTTATTGTGTGGGCCTGGAGCTGAGGAAGGTGAATTGTGTTCCGCTCTGACTGACTTCGTGAATCATGTACTGCATAATGAAGTCCCTGAGGATATCAGGCCCTTCTTCTTCGGCGCCAACCTAATCCCATTGGCCAAAAAGGACGGCGGTATACGTCCCATTGCCGTTGGAGAAACCCTCAGACGTTTAGTTTCGAAAGTTGTTAGCCAGAGGTGCTCTGACAAAATGAAAGAACTGTGTAATAAGGTTCAGTTTGGTTTTGGAATCAAGGGCGGAGCCGAGGCTATCATCCACGGGGTGCGCGCCTATTTGGAAACTCCTCACTCGGGGGCACGGGTAATTGTCAAACTCGATTTCAAAAACGCATTCAACCTGTTAAGACGTGACGAGCTGTTACGGGCTGTCCGTGAACATTTTCCTGCTTACTACGGCTACTTTTGGCAGTCATACCGATTCAGTAGTCATTTGGTCTGCGGAGAAGAGTTGTTGTCATCCGCCCGGGGAGTGCAACAGGGTGATCCGTCAGGCCCCTTTGGATACAGCCTAGCCACGTTACCGTTGTTCACTGATCTGGATTGTGAGTTGTTCTTGGCATTCCTTGATGATGTTACATTAGCGGGAACCGTGGAAAAAGTAATGGCGGCCATTAAGCGAATAGAAGAACGAGCAGCAAAGTTAGGCCTGGAATTGAACTTCAGCAAGTGCGAATTTTTCCCAGTTGTGACGAGTGATGAAGATGAATCATTAATCCGGACATCCCTGTTGAGCAGCTGGCCAGACATGATACAGCTGAACGCGGACAATTTCACCTTATTAGGAGCGCCTATGACCTCGTCGGCATGTGCGGGATTTTTGGCTAGTAGAACGGAACTACTTAAGAAATTCGTACATCGTTTGGAGAAATTGCCAGCCCATTACAGCCTTTTTCTCCTCAAGAACTGCCTGAGCATTCCAAAAGTGCTATACGGTTTGCGTACTTCACGTTGTTATGAACATCCTCAGTTTCTCAAAGAATACGACGACACGCTGCGGTTGGGGGTTGAGCGGTTGGTCAATGTAAAGATATCTGAACTGCAGTGGACTCAGATGTCTCTTCCAGTACGGCGGGGAGGTTTGGGAACGCGCCGCACAGAGACATTAGCTGTCTGTGCCTATTTGGCATCGGTGTACTCTGTGCAGCCCATCGTTTCTGAATTTTACCAGTCAACTGAAGAGTGTCTAACGAGAGCAGCTATGGAGTCCTGGTTACAGCATACGCAATGCGAGATCCCGGCTGATTTCATTCGGAAGTTTCAGTACGCATGGGATGCACCAATGATTGAGCGCGACATTGCCATGCTGATGTTGTGTACAGAAGGAAAAGAACGTGACAGGGCGGTTTTGCTGTCTGCACTTGACAGAGACTCTGGCGTCTGGTTGAATGCGTTGCCCGCTCCATGCCTGGGAACGTTCCTTAGAGACGACGAGGTCAGAATCGGTGTCGCATTGCGGTTTGGATTGCCAGTTGTAGTGGCACACAACTGCATTGCGTGCGGCGCTCAAGTAGAAACTAACGGACATCACGGGTTATCCTGCAATAAGTCAACCAAGGGACGATGGGCGCGGCACAAAGAAATGAACAGTATTGCTAAAAATTGCTGCGAAAGCGCCGGTTTTCCTTGTCAGCTAGAGCCGACCGGCTTATCGAGCAAAGACGGAAAAAGGCCCGACGGGATGACGCTGATTCCTATCCGCCAAGGAAAACCGCTGGTCTGGGATGTAACCAGTTGGTGCACGGTCGCAGACTCGCATGTCACCGGCAGTTCGAAGAAATCTGGACACGTGGCTCAGCTTGCAGAAAATTCTAAACGGCGGACATATTCGTTTTTGGGAAGTGGATACTTTTTTTACCCTTTAGCGATTGAGACGTTGGGAGTATTTAGCCCCGCTCTGAGTGAACTGTTGCATTTCATGGGCTGTAAAATTCGTGATTTAACTGGAGAAGCGCGTTCTACTGCTTTTCTTAAGCAGCGCTTCAGTCTCGCTGTTGTAAAAGGGAATGCCACGGCTGTCTTGAGCACGTTGCCTTTTAATCCAAGAGAAGATAGAGATTTTGGTTGCTTTTTTAATGTTTAAATTTTAACTAGCAAGTAGTGTACCGGCGTCCGAACTATGCTTGCACTATGTTTGCTCACTCATTAAGATTGCCGGCGCTCGTCAAATCTAGCATGCAATGGCACATAAGGAGAGTCGGAGGGCTATGTTACTGGGCTGTGCTTCAAGTGTGTGTTTGATATCAAGATCTCAAGCATGTGCCGCTTAAGGGTTACAGCACCCGTAAGAACAATAAAATTCGTTTTGGTCAAGAAATCATAAGAAATCAGAGCGAGTCGGCGCCGAAATTTTTAGATAAAACCTGGAATGATTACCTAAGAATAAACAGGTCCAGACAATATGACTATCTTGCCTGCGTACTGCGATTTCAAAGTGATATTGAGATATCTTATGTAGACGCCGATGTCCAAAGCCTTTGTGCTTGAGGAAGTAGCCCCGGTTCCACCGATAGGGTATTCCATGTGGCTCTGGACCCGGTAACAAGAAAACTTTGCACATAATTGAACAGCTCCGGCATTCGTTGTAATGCAGGATGACATAGTGCGTAATGCAGGTCACGACGTCCGCTTGTCGGTGGCCCCAGTGCACCGTGTCCAGATCATCAACGAAACTGGTTAGCAGTTGGCAGATATTTTTAAAAATTATTATAAAAAAAGAAAACTACTACATATTAACAATGCTAATTACCTGCAAGTTAACAACTCAGCTAGTTCAGCGTATAAAGAAGTTACACCTCCTACTCCGGGGCCACCGAACGGATGGGAAAGGCTCGATGAACTGCACAAGACACTATCTCGACGGTTCGTTTTACTCAGCACGCATTGCGCGGGCTCAGAACCTAGTATCCGGAGGAGGATCGAGCACCGAAATGGCTCATGAAACAGGCATTAAGATACGTTCCGTTGATCAATGAGCAACATACATATGAGGAACACACTTTTCTTTTCACAGACTCAATCGTATAATTCAATTTCTTTGGTCTGCTAAGTATTCGGTATGAACCGTGGAAATGGCATACTAGCTTTGGTGATAGACCGACCGGTGTGTACAAAAAGACTGATTCTCCGATTTTAAATTCACGGGGCGTTCGTTTGTCTTGTGCAGCGAGCAAGTATAAGTTTTGTGCTTCAAAGATATTCTGGCGTGCGAGTTTTGGAATGTCAGTTATGTTTTGCATTATAGACTTTGTGCAGTCATTCATGTGTGCAATATCTGCGGTTGGCAGTGCAGCCATTGCCACGTCTACTGGTGATCTGCACTCGCGTCCGTGTGAAACGTCGAACGGTGAATATCCAGTTAATGATTGTTTTGCCGTGTTGTATGATAAATGGTACCTAAGAAGTACAGTTGTCCAACTTGCTATGGATAATTTGGAATAGACGCAGGCTGCGCAAAATCGAAGGAATATATCGCGGTAGAATCGTCGACCGAATCCAGATAACGTCGCGTCTGAAGCACATTATGTTGGTAAAACTGTTCGCTGCGCCATATCAGCTTGTTGTAGTGAGCTCTTCCCGCTTGAACCAGATCCAAATGATCCCTCCAATCCTCTGCTTTGCAAATTTTGGGGTCATCGTTGGCCTAAGGAAAGCGCAAACCGTCGCGCAAGGAGACACAAGTGTAAACCAAGTCAGTTCTGGGTGACCTAATCTGTAGGTGCAGCATAAATGTTAGGCTCAATAATGCCATCCTTAGCAACTCTGCAGTTCTGGCTTCAAGCTTATATGATTACATTCTTACCACATATCCGGACAGGACTTTTTGGTTTACTTTGATTCCCACGTGGAGTACGTTAGTGCTCCTCGTTTGGACGCACATTTCCCACAATTTTCTTGAGCAATTTTCTGGCGGCCAAAATGCTCAACTTTCTTAAAGCGGTTGGACTTCCCGGTCTGGATCACGAAAAGGCTTTAGTTTAGTTGTTGAAATATAGTTTTCGGCGAAAGAGTTCCATAAGCTCAACTCAAACCGAGGCTTTTGCGTTCTTCAGGTGCTGGAATCTTCTTCTTGTCTTACTGGCTTGACATTGTGTTTTGGGAAAATTAATAAAAAAGCATTTCTGGCTCTCGCGAACCAGTTTCGCTAAGTTATGCGTCCCATTTCGTTAATGCTGTTAATCTGAGATCTCACTTCCTCCACAATGCGTTCCATGTGCGGCTTGTTCAGTCCTTGCCGAAGGTAAATGTTTATGATTTTGTCCGTTAAAAAAACGGAGATGCGCCCAGATGCGAGTTAACACAGAGACGCAAACAATGGCCAGACAGACTGGTTCGAGCTTTTGAAAATCTGCAGTCCCTCGGTATGGAAAATCCATGAGACAAAACATGAGCCCTCATATACTTATTTTTTGGCGCATTTCTGCGTGGAGGTCAGCATAGTACTGAGCGTCAGTAATACCATTGACTAGGCCTTGATACTGGCTGAACCCCCCCCCCCTCCCACATCCCCACCGTGGGAAATTCACCCCCACAAGCTAAATAAAATAAATATGAAATGATTCGGCCATAAATAGTTGCAAAAAAGCAAAGGCCAACAAAATATACCTTCAGGTGGGCATCATATGTTGCCTTATTTGTTAAAAATTTCTGATTGGTCCGCAGGTCATCCGCCGAAGATGTCAAATCCTTCACTATTACGTTCAGTTAATTTGTGTATAACCGGTCACTCGGAAAACATTTGGGAACTTTTACTCGATGTATTGTTAGGCTGCAAGCATGGAGAGTAGCAAGACAGCGCGCTGCCGGATGAGGCCATTTCCATCACCGGGCCAACGATGACCACTTTGTGTGCAGTCATCGTGTTGTAGGCTTCGTCCTACATACATGTATGAATGGATGTGCGTGTGCGTAAGTGATGTCATCGCATGAGGTTATATATCGATTTTACGAGAACGGAAGTAGTGCTATATATGTGTAGGCGGCTTAGCCGCAGGGTTTTCCTTACAGACGGTATTTGCCGGAATGGATCGATAGCACGCCGGGAGTGTATGATCCCGCGTGCGCAGTGCATGTTTCCCCGCTGACATCCACTGACGTCAGCGGGATCTTTCCATCTACATGTGTGTGCCGGCTCGCCGCTACAAAAGGGCGGTTGTATACGTAGCAGTAGTGTGAGTGTATAAGGTTCTGCCCCACTTCTGGTTGCGTGACGAGAGTACATATATACAGACGGGCGGGTGCTGCCCCACAGCCGCCTCTTTCAAATGTTTGGCTTTGCGGTACACGAGCGTGTGTTCTCCACGAGCGTGCTGAAATCAGCCGTCGCGTGCCATCTTCTTTACGAGAAATCCGCTGTTGATTCCTCCTTCCATGATGGCTTGGTGTATTTACCCAGTCTGCGCTGTGTCTCTGATGCTCTTTGTCTGGACACGGGCGATCTGTGTGCACTTGCTGCAGCGTGCACCTGTTACGCCGGCTTGCATAACGCTCAAGCCAGCCGTTGGATTCGCCATTTTTCCACCGTTGAGCGTGCATGCGTGAAATTTTCGCCTTGTATGGGTAGGTTGACCGGTATGCCCCGGTTCATCAACTTCAAACAGATACCAGTCAAAGACCGGGGGCCATGTTATCCTTCTACGGTCAGCGTAGAGAATGTGCCTCCTGCCCAGCAAAGTGGGTCGACCACTTCTACCCATTCAGTACGAGGAATCGAAGCAGGTGCCAATTGATTCTAGTGGAATTTCTTGTTGAGCAGCAGTGCTCACATCTTCAATCGTTTTCTGACGAATTCGTGAGGAGGTTTCCTTCGGCCGCTAAAAAGGCTGTGAATGCTCTGGAAAACCTTTCTTTCCCTGCGCTTCGGTACATCACTTCCCTTGATCTCATCACTAAAGTTTTGCTGACCTGGCGGACGTTAGATACTCCCGTGCATTCGACGCTGCAATAAATAACATTAACAAACCAGGAAGACGCTTTTGCGATCAGTGGAATCTTGAATCGCTGGCTGAGTCTCTAGGATTTGCCAATGTTAAAGAATTACTGGTCGCACTCAGCCGTAAAGGTTTTATCCCTATCAAGCCTAGTAATCAAGCCATGAAGCCTAGTTTTATCCCTATCAAGCCTAGTAATCAGCATATGCGGGACACGCTTAAGTACCGACACGCCGCCATCATGGTTCTGTCTAATCGTGGTAAGATTTGTTTTTTTTTGCATTCTGGCTGTTTTCAATTGATTATATAGTGCAATGCTTTTTTCTTCTAAACTGGATCCAGAATGAGCGCGTATATGTTTGATCCAAGTGGCCCTAGCATTATGT